TTGATGGTAGTAAGGATTCTATGGTTTAGTGGAGGGAAAAGTACCATTTTAAATAGAAGGGTTTTCACCCTAATAATTAAAATAACAATACTCAGCAGACTTTGCAATACTGCAAACAAAACCAAATTGCATAGGCTGTTTTTGGTTTAAATTACATGGAGCCCCAAGCAATACTTGTATATAGAGGCTTGATTGAAATAGCTGCACAGAGCAATTCCTGAGCAGAGGGTTTCTTTCCTTTAATTACATTTGTGCAGTGACTCATACTCTGCTAATGCCTACATTTTATAATTCAAAGGAAAATGTTCTCTTGAAATTTGAAAACCTGGAAGACTAAAGAGTTGTTTTTTTTAAATTGTTATAATTATTACTATTACTACTACAACAACTGTGATTTCCCTGAGGATTATTTTACTTGGGCGATTTTGGTTTCACTCATGCTGGCTCCAAAATTGGGGTTTACTTAGGTGACAGAGACAGAGAAAGGATCCCAGAGGTGGTATAGACTGTTTTGGATTCAAGACCATCAGCAGCAGAGATTTGGGATTTTTACCCTGGTATTCACCACTGGTATAACTGAATTTATCTTAAGAGTTTGCTTACTTTTGACTTTGTTTCTCTTTTCTTCATCAGCTTGTTGGCAAAAAAGATGCCAAACTCTGTAAAACACTTTAAGATGGTTTATTTAGAACCAAACTTGAGGACATAGACCTATGACCCATGGCAGGAGGTTCTGAGAACATGTGCCTACTGTGGTTGAATGGTGGCTTGGTTATATAGAGTTATACAGTGGCAGAAACTACAAAAAGCATAAATCAACACATGTGAGATTTAGTCAGTGAAGGAGGAACATTCTCAAGCAAGGCTCTGTAGGTCATAGTTGTATTCAAAGATTTCTTGACCAGGTGTGGTGGCTTAAGCCTGTAAACCCAGCACTGAGAGGCTGAGGCGAGAGGATTGCCTGAGCCCAGGGGTTCGAGACCAGCTCGGGCAACTTGGTGAGACCTCGTCTCTACAGTATATAAAAAAATTAGCCAGATGTGGTGGTGCATGCTTGTAGTTACAGCTACTTGGAAGGCTGAGGTGGAAGGATCACCTGAGCCCTGCAGATCAACACTGGGGTGGCCCAGAGCATGCCACTGCACTCCAGCCTGGGCAACAGAGTGAAACTCTGACTAAAAAAAAAATTTCTTGACTGGTAATTTATAATTCCTATCTAAGGAATTTTGGAAATCAGAAGAGGGTATGTTTTACTGAGATAAAGGGATGGAAAGACTCTAGGCTTGTTGATACGTAGATATGAAGTCCTATAGGTGACAGACTTATGTATAGAGAGGATAGATGAGTGTGTTACAGGTTTCCTAAGTCTGGGAGTCCCCAGGAGATGGCTTTTCAGGACCACAAAATACTTTGCCTTCCTTCAGGTTTGTTGTTGTTGTTGTTGTTGTTGTTGTTATATGATGTTATCCTGGAGTCTAAAAAACAAACCTTAGTATATGGGGTAAATAGCTTAATAACACCCTGTCTTGTGAGTCCTTATCAGGTATGACTCCTGAAGCCTCTTAGGAATTTGGATATGAGAAAAATTTAGTTCTCAAGTTGAGTGAGTTTTTCTGAATTTACTAGTTCAGATCTCAAGAGAGGGAACCTGGCTGGCTCTGCTAATAAGCATACCCCTGTATAGTAATGCTTCTCTCCTACTTCTGGAGAAGTTGTTAAAGACTGATAGCAAGACTGAGGGACAATCCTTTGCAAACTTTTGACTGTATCTCTCTTGTTTTGGGTAACAGGGTGTGATGTGCATACTGGAGCAATTACCAGTTTTGTCTGAGGCAGGTCTTTACCATGCAACTTCACTATTTTGTTATAAACCCTTGAAAATTTGTGAAATATATCACATAATCATAGAGAAAGAAAGACAACCGTTGGTTGACTATAAATGGCTGCTCTCTCTACCACTTACCTTTCCACCAATATTGTTCAACTTTCTCTGAGTTGCCATGATATTCAAGGGAGACTAGGGAGGAAAATCGCAATTGTTCATAGACAAATGTCCTTGTCAAAAGGTTGGTTTAGGTGTGACCATGTAATGTAATTCTGACAAAAGATACTTGAGAAGATGAATGGTAGGAACTTTTTGTGGCCAGAAAAGGCTTACTCACTTTTAAAAATAAATACAAGGGGCCAGGTGCAGTGGCTCATGCATGTAATCTCAGCACTTTGGGAGGCTGAGGCAGGAGGATTGCTTGAGCCCATGAGTTCAAGACCAGCGAGACCTACGTTGGGTGTGATGGCACACTCCTATAGTCTTAGCTACTCAGGAGGCTGAGGCAGAAGGGTCTCTTGAGCCCAGGAGGTTGAGGCTGCAGTGAGCTGTGAACATGAACTCCAGCCCGGGCAACAGAGTGATAACCCTGACTCAAAACAAAACACAAAGCAACAAAACAAAGCAAAAAAACTAAAAAAACTAGGCTTTCATCTTAAATATAAGGGGTATAAAAAAAAGAAAGATAAACCGAAAAATAAATACAAGCTTTTTTTGTTTGTTCGTTTTTAACCTTTGAATATTTTTATCTGCGTGAGATGCTTAGAATTGCAGCAGGCCCATGTTAGGGTCATGAGAGGAGCCAGTTAAGAGAACAGGCCAATCACTAGGCAGAGCAGAAAGTGGAACACACTCTTGGTCTCCTTAATGTTCCTGAGTCACCATATGAACCAACCCTGGAAATGCCATGATGTCAGGTGGGAAATTACTCTGATGCAATGGTAGCCTCCAAGTATGCTACCAGGCAAGCAATCACAGAGGTAGAGGAACTAGAAGCTCATACAGACTAAATTCCAATCCTCAAGTCATGTGGTTTGCTAAGTTAATGTAAAGCACACAGTGAGAAGCAAAAGGAAAGAGATTGGTAGGTTAGCACTCTTGGGATAGGTGCATGCAGGGTGGAGGGACCATGCCAGCTAATCCTGAGGAACATGGTGTTCATAAGTCCTGCTTCCTTTCCTGCTGCATATGCTTTCCCTGCTGATGGTGTGGTCACAAGAACCAGAGTTGAAGTTTGGGTAAGACTCATATATGGCAGGTGCCCCAAACTAATGACATGCACGTGTGTATTTGAGAGACACTGGGACACATATGCCTGGTCAGTGGCTGTGACTTGCCAGTTAACCTGGCAAATAGTCATGAGTTCTCTCTGTGTTTCTTGGACAGAGAGCATATGGGCAGGAATGAATATCAGCAATTTTTAACCAGGGTGACTTTGTCCTGCAGTGTACATTTAGCAATGCTGGGAGATATTTTTGATTGTCATGGGTGGTAGGTGTAAGAAATTCTAGTAGTATATAGTGGGTAGAAGCCCAGGATGCTGCTAAACATGCTATGATGAATAAAACAGGCCCCAAATGCCAGTAGTGTTGAAGTTGAGAATTTCTTGGTTATCACCAGTGGGTATTTGAATTAAGACCCCATAAATATTAAGTGCTTATGTATAACCAGTGTATCCTGGATATTTAGTGTCTCTTGTACATCTAGTATATCTAGTCTCATGTATATCTAGTATTATCATTCAGGTGCCTCATGAATATTTAGTATCTCTTGGTTTTTCATTCTTTTTTATCAAGAAGATAGAACCCAGAAGTTATCTTTTTATTTATACTTTACGCATCCTATTAATTCGATCCACATCTAACAAAATTTTGCTGGCTAACTACTCATATACACTTAAAACATCTTAAAAGAGTTTGCCTATGTTTTATAAACCTTAAATTTATTTATCTTAATAAAACTGAATATGCTCAAAAGCAAATTCACATTATACTTGCTCTGGAATTTCAAACAGTAAATGTATTGATTGTCTAAGCCGCTTTTTATTGTGTTTTCTGCAGCTTAAAGCTTAGAGCATTCTAGTTGGTTCCCACATAAAGTCAATAGGAAAATGTATTGTAAAGATAAATGAAGTATGGACTTAGGTTATAAGTTTCCTAAATGGAAATATAAGCATCAGATACTACAGGATTTTGGTGCCTATGTTAATGTAATACTTGCTTGGTCATTCTGTTTATGAAGCAACTATGCTTCATATGCATCATGATATGATGGGCCTCTGTGCTAAAAAATTCACATTTTTTAATGATAGGAACAGTTTTGGCTTGGTGACCTTCAGTGCACTTTAGAAAAGGTTTTTATTTGGTTCAATGTTTATTAATAGAGAAGCATTAGAAATTTATAGCTTCATGTATTTTTAATTATTAATAATTTTATTTATATTTTAGTACTTTAAAAGCTTAAAGATATTATATGAAAGTTGTGTCTTGAGGTACCTCTGTTAAAGGGAAAGTTTTGCACATATATGAAATTAAAGAGATGCATATTTAAGATTACATAGAAACATTAAAATTATATAAGAAGGTTGCTTAGGATAGATTTTAAGAGAGACTATTTTCAAATACTGATAGACTATCTCTTCTCATTTTAACTTTCTTTTCTTCTTATTTTTGTGATGGAAACTAATATTTTGTCAGATAAAAATTTTGCACTTAACACATAAAGAAATGGTACAGTATGATAGACAGATTAAAACCATTTGATAAAAAGCTAGAGAAAAAGAAGAAGAGAATGTCTTAAAAATAATGATGTGTGTTTGGTAGTTTCCTAGAACTGTTGTTGGCTGGATCAGCAGAGCAACTCTACTAAGCAATGGGATGACAGGTGGTATAGGCAGTTCTACCTCATATCTTTTTAGAAATACTAGGCTCTGTGTGTGTGTGTGTGTGTGTGTGTGTGTGTGTGTGTGTGTGTGTGTGTGTGAGAGAGAGAGAGAGAGAGAAAGAGAGAGAGAGAGAGAGAGAGAGAGAGAGAGAGAGAGAGAGAGAGACCTGTAATGTGTTGATTTTGGAGTTAAGTAATTGTTAAAGCAGATATGTGTAAACTTGATCTTGATTTTCAAATGTTTTACATTTTCATGGTCCGCATTAATCATTATTTCTTTTTATTGTTGCAGTGATTTGCTGTCTTCTGAATACATAGAGAGACACATTGATCATGGAGGCAAAACTGTGGAAGTTAAAGTAAGTTAAATTCTTTCATCTGTGGGGGTAATTTATTGAGAATCTTTTAAATACTACCGACTATGGATTTAATTTTCAGTGATACTTCCAATGAACAGTTTTGAGTTTTAAGCAACATTTTATAATTTATTATGAAATTTTATCATCTACCTGTGAAAAAATAAAACTTCACTTGTAGTTATCAGAAAAATAATTTTCAATGTACTGTAGGAATTGTTGGAGTTACATTTTATAGGATTGCTATTGCTGCAAGTAGTTGTTTTTTAAATGACATCAAGAACATAGTTTCTGAAATTGGCCTTTAAGATTAGTACTGAGAACCAAGAGGTGAAATCTTGGGTCCAGGGTAGATGTGTGGCTTTGCATTCAGTTTTGAAAGACACCCCCTGGTAAAATGTAAAATTATTAGATCTACAGGGAAATCTTGGGTCATTAAAAATACTTGGTGATAGAAGTCTCAGGATGCTGTTCATGACAGATAAGCTCTGAGAATATTAACATACTTCCACCTATAGGCATAAGAATGTGTTTTCTCCCCAGTCTACTGACAGTGTAATCTAAGGTCATATGAGATCTACCCAAGTGTTGGGCTTCTTTTTGCTCAATGTTTAGTGTAGTGAGTTTTGTCCAAGTGCTTGTTTTCTTTTGAACAGTGTTCAGGGTGTATGTTCTACTTTATCTGAATTATAATGCTATTTGTTCATATTTGCTTCTTTTTCCAACTATAAATGTTATACATGATCGTTATAGAAAACATGTAAGCAGAGAAAAGTACAACAAAAAAGGAAAAATTTCCCTTAAACTCATCAATGAGAAATAAACTTTGTTTTCAGTTTGTTTTATTTCCTTTTAGTGTTTTTTGTCTTATGTTCTATTTATATATTTCTTCTTGTATAGTATCATATATATCTATAATATTGTATCTTGTTTGCTTTTTAGTAGACATTGTATCATAGCATAAACATTTTTGCAAGTTACTTTCCCATAAAGCCTATGTTCACTGTTTTTTTATTTACAAATATTACTAATAAAGTTTTTTTATTCAAATTAAACTGCTATCAATAACCAAAATAAATTACATTGTCCCAGTCAAATGGATAATTGACTTTTTCAAATGCGCACACACACACACACACACACACACACAAAGAAAACTTTACATTTTAGAAAATTTCAAACATTTTCTGAAGTAAAAGAATAATATAATAAAGTCCCTCATGCCTATTGTCCAGCATCAACAATTAGTAACATTTTGACAATCTTTTCTTTTTTACTTTTTGTGTGTATGCAACTGTGTATGTATAGTATTTTAAAGCAGATACCAGATATTATGGCATTTTTCCAATAAATGTATCTCTATATATCTATACATTTATAACTGAGAAAGATGTAAAACAAAAGTGATCTTGATAATAATATTTATGCTGATCTTTCCAGAAAGTTATTCAAAACCTAATATTGAAGAATTGAATGGTGGATTTATTTGTATTACTGTCTTCTTGCAGAAAGGATACCAGGATTCTTCTAGATATGACATCGGAAAATAGTCATTTTGCTTATAGCTGAGAAATAAAATTACCTAGGGTTTGAATCTCCAGTTCCTTTTATTCTCATAAATGTGCATTTGGCATGTTTTTCTGAATGCAGAGTATCTTGTATTCCCTTGGTAAGGAAGAAAGGAAACAGGTAGTTCACTATCTGTTTTCATCTTTGTCCTTCAGCGGAATGATAAAATGCAAATAGGAGCGTGGAGGGTGGATCCAGTGAACAGCTCTCTGCTGTCTCTACAGTAATATCCCTTTTCTGAAAACTCTCAATCACAAAGTGTACTCCAATCTAAGATGTTATGGCTCCAAGGGTATGCATAACACACAAAGCGCTGATTTAGCTGCATAGTCTTTCTTGATTTTCTAAGCGGAGAATTGCAATTTCTTTGCTGATGCTTTTCCTAACCTCTAGGCCTATCAAACAGGGAAATGACAAATACAAACTTTGTCCAAACCCAAGGGCTAAAAGGATGTTTCCAGTTCATTAAAAAATCTAACGCAAAATTTTCCTCAGGGTATTGGGCATGGTGACTCAGGCTGGTAATCTTAGCACTTTGGAAGGCCAAGGAGGGAGGATTGCCTGGACCCAGGAGTTTGAAACTAGCCTGGACAGCATAGCAAGCCCTCATCTCTATAAAAATTTAAAAATTTGCTGAACACGGTGGCACTCACCTGTAGTCCCAGCTACTCGGGAGTCTGAAGTGGAAGAATTGTGAGCCCAGGAAGTTGAGGCTGTGTGATTCATGATAGCACCACTGCACTCTAGCCTGAGCAACAGAGTGAGACCCTGACTATAAATAAATAAATAAATAAATACACATATTAGTAAAAATTAAATTCTCTGGGTTTTTTCCAGGAACCACATTGAAAGTGCTGAGTCCCACCCATCAATCCAAAATCAGTATTCATTTACTTTCGTGCTAGTTCTGGCTTGCCCTCTGTGCTTAGCTCTTCAGGGTGTTTCTTTTCACATAAAATCTGATAGCATTCTTTTCTTTATTAATGATTCAATTTTCTCAAGATTTTCTTTTTACTATACATTCTAAGTCAAATAAAATTGTAGCATTTTATATTTTTTGTTTTCCTTCCCTCCATTACCTCTTTAAAAGACAAGGCTTAAAAACTTTTGACTTGGTGCAGTGGCTCAGGCCTGTAATTTCAGCATTTTGGGAAGCCGGGGCAGGAGGATCCTCTGAGACCAGGAGTTCGAGTGAGCTGTGATGGTGCCTCTATACTCCAGCGTAGGTGACAAATGAAACCCTGTCGCCAAAAAAACCAAAACATAAGAAGACAAAAAACTGTTACTTCTCCTTTACCTTCTATATTAGTTTGCTAGGGCAAAATGCCAAAGTTTGGGTGGCTAAACAACAGAAATTTATTTTCTTATACTTCTGGAGGCCAAAAGTCCAAGATCAAGATGTTGACAGGATTGGTTTATTCGGAGGTCTTTCCCTTTGGTTTGTACATGGCATTTTTCCTGTGTCTTCACATGATCATTTCTCTGTATATATCTGTGTCCTAATATCTTCTTGTAAGGACATCATTCATATTGGCTTAGGGCCTACCCAAATGCCCCCTTTTTAGCTTAATGACATCTTTGACCCTATCTCCAAATACAGTTATATTGTGAGATACTGGAGGTAAGGACTTCAGCATATGTATTTTGGGAGAACAAAATCCAGCCCATAATACTTTGCTTTAAGAGCCCTGTAAGATTTTTTGTTCTTCTTAAAGTTGACTTTTCTCTGGATACTGAGGTAAATGAAAGAGAATATGAAATCAAAGCTAAACTCTAAGAACTTTTTATATCAGTTGACACAAGTATGGCTATATATATATCGTAAGGATACAAAATTAACATCAAAATTATTTTTCTAGATTTAGCAATGGCTAGAAATCAGTCCATAAATGGCTGTGCTCAGGTGTCATTGAACTTTTGTTTGTGACAATTCAGGTGCAATACATAATGATTTAAGGGTGTGAATGTGGGAAAAGGAATACATTTGCAGGAAAAAATTTTAAAATAAAAAGAGAAGTAGAACTGGTCATGGTGGCATGTGCCTGTAATCCCAGCTGCTCAGGAGGCTGAGATAGGTGGATTGCTTAAGCCCAGGAGTTACAGGTCAGCTGGGGCAACATAGTGAGACCCTGTCTTTAATAAAAAATAAAAAAGATGCTTTGGTAATCTTTTAGATTGTAATTTTATTTTAAAAGCCTTTTTATTGTGAAATATGCCATTGACATAGAAATTCACCAAAAAAATAGTATGAGTTGAAGAAATGCTAAAGGCAAACACTCTTATAACCACCGTTCAGTTCAAGAAATAGAGATTGGACCAGCCCTTTTATTTGCTACTTTCCAACCCAAACCCCTCCCTCCTCTTATTGTAAGACTTATAAACACTGTCCTTTTATAGTAATTCCCTCCTTAGTTTTGTCACCAAACCATGTACTATACTTTATTTTTGCCTCTTTAGGTTTTAAAAATGATCTTTTCCTTTGTTCCCCTTGCAGTTTGTGTTGAAGAAACCAGATTGTTTATCCTATACAGTTTCCTACAATCTGGGTTTTGCTGTTGATTGTAATTTTGTATTTAGAGTAAAAATAAATATGTTTTAGTGATTGTTCCTTAAACATAACAATTTGTATTATCTGTAGGCATATTATAAATCTCACTAGGCTTCGCACGGTGGTTCAAAACTGTAATCCCAGCATTTTGGAAGGCAGAGGCAAGAGGATTGCCTGAGCCCATGGTTTCAAGACCAGCATGGGCAACATGGTGAGACATTGTCTCTACAATAAATAAAAAAGTTAGCTGGGCATGGTAGTGCATGCCTGTAGTTCCGACTACTTGGAAAGTTGAGGCCGAAAGATCACCAGAGCCCAGCAGGTCAATGCTGGGGTGACCATGAGTGTGCCACTGCACTCCAACCTGGGCGACAGAGTGAGGCTACAACTCAAAAAAAACAAAAACAAATACTCACTGACTTCAATTTTATCCTGTTTAGTTAGGTGTGCATAATATGGATTTTAAAGTTCTATGAAAACTTTTTCTTTTTAATGTTATGAAGATAAAGTCTTTATGCAGGAAAAAAATGATAGATGCTTTTTGTTACTTTGATAAGACATATTCGTCTCATCTTTTTCTTGCATTTATTTTCAATTCATTTAAAAATTGAATTCTAAATTTACCCCTCTGTTTAGGGAGAATGTGTATGTGTTTGATGTGTACTTTAAAGTGAATTTCATTTCTTTTTCTTTTTTTATTTTTTGAGTTGGAGTTTCACTTTGTTGTCCAGGCTGGAGTACAGTGGCAGGATCTTAGTTCGCTGCAGCCTTGAGCTCCTGGATTCAGGCAATCCTTCTGCCTTAGCCTCCTGAGTAGCTGGGACTATAGGCATATGCCACCACATCTGGCTTATTTGTTTAATTAATTAATTAATTAATTAATTTT